AACCCCCAAATCTGCAGTGAATATGGTGCAAGCCCAGGAGAGGGAGAGTTGGGGGCTCTTTGGGGGAAAGGCCACCTGTTTGTGGGGTTCCTGAGGGTGTGAACCCACAGGCTGTTCTGTTTTTCCTGCCTGTGGGTGGCTGCCGGCCGAGGTGGAGTGAGTGTGCTGTTTGTGTCTGCACCATCAGTTCCTGTCATCTGGGGAAGTGGGTCCTGGAAGGAGCTCGCGTCCTTCCCCTCCTCTCCTGTGACTCTGCCCCCGTCCTTTGGCCTCCCACCTGACTGCTGGTGGTGCCTTTCTCTGTCACTGTGGCCCTTCCCGAGTGGCTTTTCACCTTTGCTGCCTCTCACTGGCTGTGTAGGGGGGCTGGCCAGGGTGGGCTTAGAGTTAGAATGCAGTCCTTACGTGAGCCTTCCTTCTGGGCAGGCAGACAGGGCTGGGGAGCTCCCAGGGGTCAGCAGAACTGGAGTGTTAAAACTGGGGATTGCGCAGTGGGTAAGGGCCCTCTTCCTCTTCACAGCTTTCTAAAAACACCCTAGTTCCTAGTGGTGGCCTTGGAGGGAAGTTGAGTTTCAGCCTCTGTGGCCAGGAAGCGGGAGAGAATCAACTTCTGCACCCCCAGCCCTCACCGTGTCACCCTGTAATTCAGCCCAGTACTGACTCGCAGCTGCAGCCTGGCCTTCCACTGCCCCCTCCCTCCTGGCCGCCCACTCTCCCAGGACACTCAGTGGACTTGCCCTCAGGGCTCCATAGCTGGAAGCGACTTCTGAGCCAAGCTGTGGTTTCTTCACTACATCAGTGCAGGTGACTGGGCCCCTCCCGGTCACACCCCACCTTCTGGATGGGACCCTTCTCCTTTCTGTCCTCATTTCTGGCTGAATTTCTGGGCAAGTCTGCAGAGTCCAGGGGTGTGGGGGATCTAGTTATCATTAGCAAGAAAGGAGGAGCCTCTAACAAGCTGCCACTGTGGGGTATTGTGGGGGTAGAGAGAGCGTGGAGACTCAGTCAGACTCCTGGGTACAGATAGAACTTCTCTGTCCCCGGCAGGCTGGGAGGGGACATCATGTTGGCACTGTGACTTTGGGCTCATGTCCTCTGTGCCTGGGGAGGGGTGCTCTTAGACACCCTGCTATATTGCTGGTGGGGTGGCCTTGCCTGCCCTGGACATGCCCAACGGGCCTTGCTTGGGAGCGCCCAGCCCCACCCTTTGTGGGGAAACTGGAGAGGTGGTTTCTGAGTCTGAGTCTGCATTTCTGTGCCTACGTGAGCCGGCTGCTGTGGCTTAAGTTAGAGGGGCCCTGACCCCAGGTCCCAGAGACACATTCCTCAACCTGTGCTCCTCCAGGGATCTGAGCAGACCCCGCACTTTTCCTCCGGGTGTGCCCCACCCCCACCCCATGCTGGACACCACCCTGAAGGAAGAGGAAATGGAGTCTACCCCACTCACAGCCCAGTCCTTCTAACGGGGCCCCTTTGGTGTCTCCCAGCTCCTTCAGGGGTCAGGCTAAAGGTCTTCCTCTGGGGAGGGCACCTCCCCAAGATCCAGCTTGGGCAGGTGGCCTGTTCTGTTGCCCAGTCCTTGACCTCCCCTACCCCACCCAACCCTAGATGGGCTGAGAAGACAGGTCTAGAGTCCTAGAGAGAGTGGTAGGTGGGTAGATGTGACAGTTTCCTCTGTAGTGAGCAAGCGCGGCGTGGGGCAGGCGATAAGTGATAGGCAGGGTGGCTCCACCATCCCGGCGCCCTTTTCTGCTCGGCCCCTGCCCTTTGCTGTGGATGTGAGTCAAGTGGGATCCTAGAGTGCTTCTGATACTACTCACCTCTACCCAGGCCCCTGCCACCCACTGAGGGCAGCTGAGGGGCTGGGCTCCTACCTGTCCACTTCTGCACTCAGGGATCTTGTCAGCCCCTCTGCTCCACTGGGGAGAGGGCCTGGTAGGAAGTGGTACAGACAGGGCTGTGTGTATGGGTGAAGCAGGAGCATCCCCTTTTCCAACAGGCTCCTCTTCCCCGTTGGCAGAGCAGGAAAATGTGGCACCAAGTGAAGCTGTCTGTGGGCGGTTGCCCAGGACACTTGCTGCTTCTCTGTGAAGGTGGTGGAGAAGAGGCCTGAGCTCCTCCCTCTTCAACGCTCCTGCCCTTTCTTTCTGGGGTCAGCTCGATTCTCTTGGGGTTCTCAGCATGGCCCTGGGCCTGGCCCAGCCTCTCTGGCCTTAGTGTGTATCTCTCCTTTCCCTCAGGAGATCAGAGAGGAGTCCATGGGTAGGGTCCCAAAAGGGGCCTTGCAGTGACATGGCCTTGCAATGGGGGGTGGGGGTGGCTGGGCATTTCCCAGAACTGAAAGTAATGTTCATGGTGGACCAAGGAGCTGGGGGGGAGGGGGTGAGTCATCTGGGCCAGCACTGTCAGGGCCCTGCAGCAGGCATAGGGACAGGGTCAGGATGGGCAGCAGTGAGAGGATCCCTCCAGAGAGGGCTGCTTCATGGGCTGGCTGTGGGATCTGTATGGACTGACTGGTGCCTGCCATTCAGGGGGCTCCCTGGGTAAGGACCCCTGTGCTGCCCAGGCTCAGATGGGGGGCTGTTGCTTAGGTGTACAGGACGCTGTGAGGTCACAGCTAAAGTGGTGGTGACTCTGTCTGCTGGTAAGGAGGCAGCTTCCTGGTGACTAGTCTGGTAGGGTGTGGAGCAGATCTGAAATTCTGATACCAGGGGGTTGAGTGTGATCCCTGTTGAGTTCTAGAAAGATCCTGCCTGCCTGGCCACCTGCCCTCCCACTGGACTTCCTCTGATTCCCCTTTCCCCCAGGGCAGTGCCCACTCGTTGCCCTCTCACTGAACCCACAGGAGGCTGTGTTGGGGAGTTTTCCCTGTGGAGGCCCCAGGGGAGGCTGTTGCCTTGGATCTGTGTCCTCGGTGACTTTAGGGCCATGGCCAACCCCAAGGAAGGGTCAGTGATCTATGATCTTTCAGGGGTGTGAGCTCAGGTCGCCAACACTTAGGGATAGCAGAGGCCAAAGTCAGCTGTAGGTCCCTGCTTGGTGAAGTGGAGCAGCCTGGGCCCAGGCACAGTCTCAGGAGCCCACCTGGGCATCACTCCACACTTGGGAAGAGGGGCATCTGCAGCTGAAGGCCCTCATCCCTATGCACAGCCTAAAGGGCAATGCCCATTGGAATTATAGGGGGCCCGAGTCCACCTCCAAACCTCTGTTTGCCCTCAGGCAACCTCCTTATACCCTCCAGGCAGCCCCAGGCCTCTGTGGAGCTCCTTAGAATTCACTGGCACATAGACCTGGTGTCCTTCCCTGCTGGACCATGGGCTTTGGCTCCATGGGGGAGGTTCTTCCAGCCCTGTGCATGTGCCCCTCTTACTGCTTTAGATAAGGAGAGTACCAGCCCCTGCTTCCCCCAGAAGACCTTGGCCCTGGAGCTACATGTTTGAGTCCTAGCTATACCTCTTTCTGGCTCTGTGAGCTTGGGAAGATTAATGAGCCTCTCTGACCCTCTATTCCCCACTACAAAATGGAAGCAGCGGCCGGGTGTGGTGTCACAGGCCTGACTCCCAGCCTCTGGGAAGCTGAGGCAGGAAGGTCACAAGCTTGGGTCTAGCATGTGTAACTTAACAAGACTCTGTCTCAAAAAATAAAAAGAGGACCGGGGATTTAGCTCAGTGGCATAAGCGCCTGCCTGGCAAGTGTGAGGTTGAGAGTTTGATCCCTAGTACCAAATAAAATTTTAAAAATAAAAAGGTACTGGGCTGTAGCTCAGTGCAGATGCCCTGGGTTCAATGCCCAGTACCACTGGGGAAAAAGGAAGCAGTGGTGTTGACCTTGAAGAGTGTTTCAAGGACAGTGAGAGACAAGCACATGGGAGACTTAGTGCTCAGACACTGGGCTCCTCCTTGCCACTTCCGGGGTCAGCTCCAAGCAGGACCTGCTGAGCTTTGCTGTGCGGCAGCAATCACCCTGCGTGAGACTTCCTAAACACAGAAATGCCGCCAAGTTGTTCTCATTAAAATGGTTGAATTTTACATTATCCAGACTTCATCCCCATAGGTTATTAATAAAAACAATGAAACACATCCAGAGAGCTCCAACACTGTCTTAAATATCAGGCTGATTTTAGCAGAAAGGAAATTGTAATTAGAAGGTAGCCAACCATCCTGAATTGTTAAAAGTCAAATGTTTTTATTCTAATAATTCTGAGACAGAAAGAAAAAGAGTAGGGATGGATGCACTTTGAGACCGTAATGTTAGGTGAAATAAATCAGACACAGAAGCTTAAATATTGCATGGGTTCTCTTCTAGGAGAGACCCAGAGTATAAAAAATTTATAGGGCAAAATCAAAGGTAGATAATAGGGAAGAGAGAGAGCTTTTGTAAATGGGTAGGGGACCTAGAGATGGAGGGGACAGGGAGGTAAAAAAATTGAGATGTGTTGTGTACTGCAAACATGGAGTACGTAAAATTTAAAACCCTTATTTAAAAAAGAGGGGCTGTGGATATAGCTCAGGAGCACAAGCGCCTGCCTGGCAAATACAAACATTTTTTTAAAAAATGGATTCCAGACCTTAGTGGTACTGATGGGTTGTTCAAGGTAGACAGCTCCAGGCTCGAGGACCAGCACTGGCTTCAGGTGGGTAGGGCTGCCAAGCAAAGGGCCCTACTGGTTTTTTTGGGTACTGGGGACCAAACTCATGACGTCACACTTACTAGGCAAGTGCTTGAGCCACTGAGCTAAATCCCTGGCCCTTGCAATAGGGTCTTGATGAGCTGGACCTGGTAGTACACACCTGTAATGCCAGGAGACTGAAGTAGAAGGGTTGCAAGTTCAAGCACAGCCTGGGAAATTTAGCAATTTAACAAGCCCCATCTCAAAAAAGGGCTAAGGATATAGCTCGCTGAACGCACAGGCCCAGGGTTCAGTGCCCAGAATTCCAAACAAGCAGGAAACAAAGGACTTGAGGTTGGCAGCTTTCTCAAACCACCCTTCCTTCTTTCAGGCTGAGAGCGCCAAGAAAGTTGCCGTGGAGCTGGTCATCTGGCTGTCCATCTGCCCATCAGTCCCCAGAGCTGAGGCTGGACTCTGAAGCATCCGCACAGGGAGGCGAGACCCAAAACATGCCCTAGCTACTTCCTGCAAGCCCGAGAAACCACAGGCCGAGCCCAGATCTGAAGGTAAAAGTTGAGGCCAGGTGGGCCGGGGCCGGCGGTGTCACTTGGCGGTTGTTTCTAACAAGTATGTGCTGAAGGCCCCTGAGGGGCCGGCTCTGCCCTGGCATTGCAGTGGATACAGCAGGCAGAAGACAGCAGTGAAGGGAAAGAGCAGGGAGGGAGAAGGGTCAGGCTGCTGAAGCAGTCATCACCAGTGCTGCCCTCTCCAGGGCTGCGGGCAGAGTGGCTGCCGTGGGCTGAGGCCCACCGTCTGTGGAGCAGCTGTGTGAGGCTTCTGTCATTGGTTTGGTTTGATATTTTGAGACACCCATGTCACTATGCAGCCCAGGCCAGCCTTGAATGTGCAGAGATCCTCCCGCCTCAGTTTCCTCAGCATTGGGATTACACCCGTGGGCCAACATGCCTGGCGGTGCCCAGTGCTTCTGATCATGACTTCTGGCCACCACCCATATCAGAAGATGTGGTCGGCACCCTGGTTTTGAAGAAGATGAGAAAAAACTAAACCCTTTGCCAAGGACCTTGGAAGTGGAAAGAAAACAGCCAAGGGTTTTAACCAGAAAAAGATGATAGGGCAGAACAGAGTTCAAGGAAGAGAGGGAACGAGGCAGAGAGATTGGGGGTTGGTGGCACAAGCCAGGAAGAGGCCTGGTCAGGGTGAATGGCCACCTCTGTCCAGGGCTGCTTGGTGGGATATGCTGGAAGGCAGACATGCTTTCCCTTCACCCGGCTGCCCGTTCCTAGGACTCGTAGTTTGTGAGCAAACACTCAGGCAGCGATGGCAAACCTTCTGGAGCTTTCAGACAGCTATGAGCACGCGTGCCTAGGTTCACCTCCACTGACGCCGTGGGGAGGAGTGTTGCTTGCAGTGCTGGACACAAAACACCCTGAATCACCATCCATCGCGGCGGTCTGTGCGCGTTCCACTCAGTGAAATCATGGCTGTCTTCAAAGCAAATAAAGTCTGTCTGTCTGTCTGTGTACACAGGGAAAGCAGTCCACACTGGAGATCACAAATGAGTGATGTGTAGAGTTGTGTTTTTTTTTTTTTAGAATGAATAAAAACAATGGAACAGAATTTCAAAACAAAATAATAGATTAACAATGGTTAATATAGTGCGTATTGTTATCTTCAAAGTAGTTGTTTGGATTACACGATACAATCATGAGAAAGATGATCAAACAATGAAAGCACAGACCTTTCTGATGAACTAACAGATGAGCAGTATAGTTACCTGCCTTGTGCATGTGCCAGTGTGTATATGATGTGGAGTTTTTAAAGCCGTGTTCTTTCCAGGAGCAGAGAGAGAGGCAGCCTGGAGGAGGGGCCCAGAGATCTTTCCTGCTTTGCAGCTCTGGCTCTTGTGTTTCAGTGCACACATACCAGTTCTGTTGTAAAATGAAGTACTTGCCACTGTGAGAAAAACAGTACCAGCCAGGAGGGATTTTCAGTTATCTTTTTCCCTCCCTTCTCCTCCCCCTCCTGCATTTCACTGTGTTGACCAGATTGCTTTGAACTCATGGGTTCGGGCCATCTTATCTCTGGAGTAGCTGGGATTATACGTAAGCCACTGGGCCTGGTTTTCGTTTACCTTTAACAGTTGTAGGGGACAGGGTCTGCCATGCTGGGTTTGCTTCCCTGGGAACTAGGCTGAGTCACCACTTCTGCTGCATAGCTCAGGGACTGTGGTACTCCATGCTTCCCCGCACAAGAAGTGGCTGTGCCTCTGCTTGTTACCACAGGCTGGCGCCATATTAGGGTTCAGAGCACTGGGTTGTTCTGGAGCCTTTACCTTGTCTTCCCCTAAATCCTTCCCAGGGACAAAGTCAGGGCCCTTTGACCACAGGCCCCTGGCCTGTCCTGACCAGGTGACTAAAATCATTCTAGCTCCAAATCCTGCATCTTTGTGCTTCTTTTATGAATTGGTTCTTGTCTCGAGCTGTGAGGCCAGAAATGGACTGAGGTAGAAAGCTGAGCCCTCCTGAGCCCTACTGGTGTAGAATGCAAATGACGGTCAGAAATAGTCTTAGGACAGAAACTCCGCCCAGCCAGGTGCAGTGTGGCTTTGAGCCAACTCTGAACAGTCTGGCTTTGATCCTAGGCTCCCTCCCCCAGCACTAGGATCCCCAGCCCTTTGGTTACAGTCACCCCACTGTACTCCTGTCTCTGTTCCAGCCCTCTGCCCATCATGGCCTCAGCTGACAAGAATGGTGGGAGTCTCTCCTCCGTGTCCAGCAGCCGCCTGCAGAGCCGGAAGCCGCCCAACCTGTCCATCACCATCCCGCCACCCGAAGCCCAGGCTTCCAGCAAGCAGGACAGGATGATCCCACAGGTGAGGAGCCAGACTGGGGCTCACTGTCCTGCCACAGAAACAGTTGTGCCCACATGACATGTTTCAGACAGTTTCAGTTGCTAACACTGTGCCCTTGTGCATCCTGGACTCTGCATCTGCTGCCTTCTTTCTGAGCCTGATAAGATATTGCAGGAAGTTCCTGGGGTGTGGATTATAGGGAACAGGAGGGGCTGTCCTTGAGAAAGGGGTCCTGGGCATACTAGGGCACTGGCCGTTTGCATGCAGGTCTCTTGGTGCCCTTCTGAGGGCTGAGGGGGACGGGGTCCACAGCTCCAGCAGCCTCTGCAGCGCCTGACTTCTCAGGAAGATGGAAATGAATTCCTGTCCCATAAAGAGCTCATTGAGAACAGCCCCCAATGGCATGGGCCTCCCACCAAGCGGGGGCATAAAGGGGTGCTGTGTTCACACCGCTCGCTCACCCCAGGAGTTACGTAGAATGTACAAAGTGCAATGGGAAGGTGCTGGGTAGGGAGGCACACTGAGATTTTCTGGGAGACATGAGGAAGCGGAGATTTTAAATGCATAATGTGGGGCGATGGGGGTTGCTCCTTAGAGGCTTGCCTAGCATGTGTAAGCCCCAGGGTCCATCATCAGCACCACGTAAACAAGCAAATTAGTTAATGCATGGAAGCAGCTGGGGTGGGGGTGGAGTGGGGCTGAACTTGTTGCTTGGGGCTTTCTTGCCAGGAGGCTACACCCATTACCCCCTGTCCTCCCTGCAGAAGCCCAAGAACCCAGCCTACATGAAGAGCGTCAGCCTCCAAGAGCCACAGGGACGATGGCAGGATGGTGCAGAGAAGCACCCTGGCTTCCGACGCCAGGCCTCCCTGTCCCAGAGCATCCGCAAGTGAGCACCCCTGCCCTGCCTGGCCATCCTGGCGCCGTATACTCTGGGCGCCTGGACGTGTCCTGAGCCTGTCCCAGTGTCCTTTTCAGAAGGAGTAAGAAGGTGTCAGCAGTCAGTGTCTCTGCATTAATGAGGGTCTTGTGTTACGCGGTAGGTGGGAAACTGAGGCCTAGAGGCCTGTACTATGCAGAAAGACATCCTGTGGAGACTGAGGAAGTCAGGAAGCTGGAGGACCCTCTTTCCAGCCCCACTTCTCATGCTCTAACCTTCACCTCCGCTCAGAGGGCTCCAGTCAGGGGCTGAGGCTGAGCCGGCAGGCACGCAGGTCCAAGTGTGTGGACATCTCCATGGTGTACATGTGCACCTCACCCTCTGGCGCCTCCCTCACATACACGCAGTCACCACGCGCCCCGTGCTCTCCCTGCATGCTGGCAGTCGTGCACTGCCCACCCGCCGCTCTCCTCCACAGGGGCACGGCCCAGTGGTTCGGGGTCAGCGGCGACTGGGAGGGTAAGCGGCAGAACTGGCAGCGCCGCAGCCTGCACCACTGCAGTGTGCGCTACGGCCGGCTCAAGGCCACGTGCCAGAGGGACCTGGAGCTGCCCAGCCAGGAGGGGCCGTCATTCCAGGGCACCGAGTCTCCAAAGCCCTGCAAGATGCCCAAGGTAGACTTTGTGAGGAGGGGCAGCCGGGTGGCCATCCCAGCTGGGAACCAGTCCACTTTCTCCCCCTTTGTCCCCTCCAGATTGTGGATCCACTGGCCCGGGGCCGGGCCTTCCGCCACCCAGACGAGGTAGACAGGCCCCACGCACCCCACCCACCACTGACCCCTGGGGTCCTGTCCCTCACCTCCTTCACCAGCATCCGCTCTGGCTACCTGCCCCGCCGCAAGAGGATGTCTGTGGCCCACATGAGCTGGCAGGCTGCTGCTGCCCTCCTCAAGGTAGGAACCCTGTCTTCCTCCCACCAGGTGCCTGCCTTCAGTGCAAGGCCAGTGGGTGCGCTGGGGCTCTAGAAATGCGGGGGGGTGCCCTGGTTCCCATGCGAGTTCCACACTGCCTGACTGCACTGACTCGTAAGTCAAGGAAGCAGGAAGTGAGATGTTACCTGTGACTGCTGGGCATAGGAGGTGCCCAGGGTGGGGGTGATGCCACAGTTGGGTAGTTAGTTTGGGGGAGGGCTGGTGTCAGGGAAGGGAGGGTTTAGAGTGTCAGCTGTGGGAATAGCTGAGGCAGAGGCTCTGGGTCCCGCCAAGAGCGTTGTGGTTGGGGAAGCAGTTTGATGTGGTTTTCATGAGGAAAGGTGTGGCAGGAGATGTGGAATCAGAAGGGTGGGCAGGGGCCTGATATGCCAAGCCAGGAAGCTGAAATGGGGGAGCACAGCTGGAGCCTCTGGGAGAGTGAAGGTCTAGAACCTGGGGTGCTTTGGGTGTTAGGATGTTAGCAGCTCACGTCAGAGAGGCCAGGGAAGGGCTGGCTCCAGACCATGGGAGAGTAGGGTGGGTAGGGCCAATAAGCACCCTGCCTTTCCCCCTCCCCTACGCCTGGGCAGGCGCCCACTCCTAAGGTGCTGATCCCAGGGACAGCTTGACAAGTCCTTTGGTGATGAGGGACTGGGCACCTGAGCTGCTGTGCCCGTCTTAATGTCCAGGCCTCTGTTTATGTGCAGGGTCGCTCAGTGCTGGACGCTGCTGGACAGCAGTGCCGGCTGATCAAGCGCAGCTTCGCCTACCCCAGCTTCCTGGAAGAGGACGTGGTTGATGGGGCAGACACCTTTGACTCCTCCTTTTTTAGTAAGGCAAGCATGGAGTGTGAGCCCCAGGTGGACAGGGGCTGGGGTACTCTAGGAGCTGGGAGGGGCATCTTTGGCCTTGATCATGTCCCGTGGAACCCCTAAAATACCCAAAGAGCTGTGGACCATGGTGCAATAGACTGTGTCCTACATGGAGCTGCTATGGTGGGGGGGGGGCGTCCCCCCAAGGAGGTTATCATCAGGGCTGACAGAACCAGTGGCTTCTCTTTCTATCCTAAAGAGCTTGTCTGTCCAGTCTTGCCTTCCCCTGATTTGGGTTGCTAGAGGCAGTTACTTGGGACAGTCACTCCTTATACCACTTTTTGTGCCCACCACCCCAGGAAGAAATGAGCTCCATGCCCGATGATGTGTTTGAGTCTCCCCCACTCTCTGCCAGCTATTTCCGAGCGATCCCACGTTCAGCCTCCCCAGTCTCCCCTGATGGGATGCAGATTCCTCTGTGAGTGGGGGATGGAGCAACCCAGCCCTCGGCCTTCCCACACCTGGTCCCTATTCCCAGTCCCTCTGAGCCCTAGGGTGGACACTGGGGAGACAAGGGGACATCAGGCTGAGAGCCACCATCCTCTCCAGGAAGGAGTGTGGCCACACCCCTGTGCCAACGACCCGGCGAGGCAAGCGCATTGCCTCCACTGTAAAGCACTTTGCCTTTGACCGTAAGAAGCGGCATTATGGCCTGGGCGTGGTGGGCAACTGGCTGAACCGCAGCTACCGCCGCAGCATCAGCAGCACAGTGCAGCGGCAGCTGGAGAGCTTCGACAGCCACCGGTGAGCTCCGCCCCGTCCCGGGAGGGCCTGGAGCTTCTTCCCCGTCCTTCTCCTAAAGCGTGTTACACCCCTGCCCCCGTGGTTAGCAAGCACTAGAGGAGCATCTTCCGCAGGTCAGGAGTGTGACCATAGCTCGGGGACACCTGTGCTCTGGAGCACAGTGTAGTCTGGGGACCCCCAGAGACTCACTGCCTCTCTTCAACGTCCTGCGTTCTCTCCTGCGTCCCAGCCCAGTGCCCAGACGGTGGTCGGCTCGCTGAGCACCACCACACGTAGGTCCTGCAAAAACCCCAGGAGAAAGCAGCAGGGCAGGGCGAATCACAGGGACATTTGGAAGCTGGGCTGGGAATGGGTGCTGGGGGAGGCCATGCACAGCGACTTTGAGGGAAATGAGATGGAGGAAGGTGATTCTCAAGTATGACTGGCAGTGTGACCTGATAGACGCTAGACCTCAAATTACAAATAATGAACAAAACAAGTATGAGTGTCCTAGACAGAAAGAAAGCCAGAGAGCGGGGCGAAGAGCTCCTTGGGAACACTGCTAGCAAGATAAGATGGGTGAAGAGAAATGGACAGGCAACAGAAATGCTGTGCGAAGGTCCCGAGACTGCAGGAAGCGTGTTGTGTTCCAGAAACTGCAAGATGGGGAGAGGAAAGAAGCATAGAGGGGGGCAGGCACAGTAAGACCTCAAGGTCTCTGTGCAGTGAGAGATTGTAAACATCCTCCTTGGGCATTGGGAAGCATCAAGGGTCTTAAGCAGAGAGAGAAACACATAGATGCATCTGTAAGTTGCTCTGGGCAAAGATAAGTTGGCTGAATGGAAGCAGGGAGCAGAGGACCCAGGTGAGCCTGAGCTGACCCAAGAGCCTCTGTCCCCAGGCCCTACTTCACCTACTGGCTGACCTTCGTCCACATCATCATCACGCTGCTGGTGATTTGCACATATGGCATTGCACCTGTGGGCTTTGCCCAGCACATCACCACCCAGCTGGTGAGTTGGGGTCCCAGTCTTCTCTCGGGGTCTCAGCCTCCCACTAAGGCTTCAGCACAGTAGGTGCCAAATCTCTGCCACCCCAGCACCCTAACCCAAGCAGGAGGTGCTCGGGCCCACCATGGCCTGGCCCCGTCTTGGAGGCTACACTCTGGGGACTGTCTTGCCCCTCTTCCACTCTGTGGCTCCGAGCTCACTCTTCTGATGCCACCTCTGTGACAGGTGCTGAGGAACAAAGGTGTGTACGAGAGCGTGAAGTTCATCCAGCAGGAGAACTTCTGGGTTGGCCCCAGCTCGGTGAGGCCCAGGCTGGGGATGCCATCAGAGAAGGGAGCCCCTGTGTCCTGTCACCCCCGTCTGGGCAGGTGGGCAGCTGCCTACCCGGAGGCCCCTCACTGAGGGAAACTTGACAGAGTAAAGGTGGAGTGGGGGCCCCTCCAGTCAGCCCAGGCTCACCAGCTCCTGTCACACTCCCAGATTGACCTGATTCACCTGGGGGCCAAATTCTCCCCCTGCATCCGGAAGGACCGGCAGATCGAGCAGCTGGTGCTGCGGGAGCGAGACCTGGAGCGAGACTCGGGCTGCTGTGTCCAGAATGACCACTCGGGCTGCATCCAGACCCAGAGGAAGGACTGCTCGGTGGGGCCCTCTGATCCCTGCCACCCCTACTCTGGTCCCTTTCTGCTGTGGTCTGGGGAGAATCCTTTAAGGCCTGTGATTATGTCTCTCTATTCCCCCATCCCTGCAGCCCCATACATACCCACAGGCACTCAACCTAGCACAGAAGACCCTGCTGCTGATTGGTCTCTGCTGTTCCCCTAGCTCAGCCCTCCAACCCTCTGCCCAAGAGGCCCTGGACAGGCCGGGTCTCAGGAGAGTCTGGGCCTGAGCCCTGGGAATGGGAGAGGCCCTGTCCTGGAGGGTCCTTTGTCTGCATCAATGCTCTGACCTTAGGCCAGTGTAACCAGATCTTCTCCACCCTCTAGGAGACTTTGGCCACTTTTGTCAAGTGGCAGGATGATACTGGACCTCCCATGGACAAGTCTGATCTTGGTCAGAGGCGGATGTCAGGGGCTGTTTGCAACCAGGACCCAAGGTACAGCCTCAAGCTGCCCATGGTTCCAGAGTAGCCCACAGGCAGGCCGCCTCAGCTACCGGCTGGGATGCTGGTGGGTGGCCGGCAGAGGTGCCTCAGCCCATCATTTTGCCAAATCTGATCTCTGCCTCCAGGACCTGTGAGGAACCAGCCTCCAGTGGTGCCCACATCTGGCCTGATGACATCACCAAGTGGCCGGTGAGTGAGTGCCCCTGAGTGAGCAGCCCTGGGTAGAAAGTGGTTTGGGAAGGGAGGAGGGATGGCCTTCCATCACTTGGGCCTCCCTCTGATTTGTGTCCTCCACAGATCTGCACGGAACAGGCCAGGAGCAACCACACAGGTTTCCTGCACATGGATTGTACCATCAAGGGTCGCCCCTGCTGCATTGGCACCAAGGGCAGGTGAGCTGGCCTGGTACCGCCACCCCCAGGCTGATGCCCTCCACAACTGTGCCTCCATCCCCTGTCCAGGGCCACCCATGGTGTGAGCAGAAAGAAGGAGAGCTTTCTGGGGCTGAGGGCTCCCCTTTCTGCCTGCTGTGGCCAGGATCTGGGCTCCAATCTAGGTGGGCAGGGTTTCTTCATGCCCCCTCTTTCCTTTCTGTGCCCCCAGCTGTGAGATCACCACTCGAGAGTACTGTGAGTTCATGCACGGCTATTTCCATGAAGAGGCAACACTCTGTTCCCAGGTGGGGTGACACCTCGGAGCTATCAGGGCAAGTGCTGTCAGCCTGGGCAGAGGAAGCTGGCACTGAGGCCTCAGGGGCTCGCGTGTTCCCACACTGGGTCCCTGGACTCAGCCAAGGTCTGACCACAACCCTCCTCCAATCCCCCAGGTGCACTGCTTAGACAAGGTGTGCGGGCTGCTGCCCTTCCTCAACCCTGAGATCCCAGATCAGTTCTACAGGCTCTGGCTGTCTCTGTTCCTACATGCTGGGTAAGAGGGTACTCATCTGGTCCCCAGCCTGTCTGATCCAGCAGTCCCAAAGTGCTGACCATGCCCGTTGTACCTGGTCCCCAGCTTGGTGCACTGCCTCGTATCTGTGATCTTCCAAATGACCATCCTGCGCGACCTGGAAAAGCTGGCTGGCTGGCACCGCATTGCCATCATCTTCATTCTCAGTGGCATCACAGGCAACCTTGCAAGTGCCATCTTCCTCCCATACCGGGCAGAGGTAGGGACAGTCAGGACAAGGGCCAGGAGGGTGGGAAGTAGCACCCCCGACTCCAGCCACGAGCTTTGTGGCACACAGGGAGGCCCAGGCCTCTGCTCCCTGTCCCACACACTGGGATGGACAAGAAGGCCCCTGCTCCCCCCCACTCCCCGCCATAGGGGCTCAAGAGTGGGTGGACAGCTAAGCTGGAGCTTAGGGGCTGGGCCCTTAATCTCTAGCAGGAGGGAACAGTGATGATCTTGAGTCATCACTCACACCAACCCCCGCTCTGCTCACTGCTTACCTCCAGAAAGAGTCTTCCTGTTCCCCTTTGTGGCTTCGTTCTCACCACACGCCTTCCCAACAGCATAAAGGCATCCACAGAGTGGGCCCACCTGGCTCTCCTTCACCTCCAGTCTTGACGATCTTGGCCTGTTTAACCTGGCTCTCTTGTCCTGTCCCGCTCCCTCCCCATTCTAGCTGCCCACCAGAGCTGGCTTGGTTGTGCTGCTAATGGCATGGGTCCTGCCCTGGGCAGGAACACAGCAGATGCTCACTGTGCACCGAGAGGAAGGGTAGCATAGATCCCACCCTGGCCTGGCAGTTGTAGCTGTGCGCAGGCCCCTGCATGAGGGTCTCACCCCTGCCCAAGCGGTAGGTCCTGCTGCTGATCGTCCAGCTGGTACCTGGTACCCTGAACACATCTCCCCTCCTCCGTCACAGGTGGGCCCAGCTGGGTCGCAGTTTGGTCTCCTTGCCTGCCTCTTTGTGGAGCTCTTCCAGAGCTGGCAGCTGCTGGAGCGGCCCTGGAAGGCCTTTTTCAACCTGTTTGCCATTGTGCTCTTCCTGTTCATCTGTGGCCTCTTGCCCTGGATCGACAACATCGCCCACATCTTTGGCTTCCTCAGTGGGATGCTGCTGGCCTTTGCCTTCCTGCCCTACATCACCTTTGGTACCAGCGACAAGTACCGCAAGCGTGTGCTCATTCTGGTATCGCTGCTGGTCTTTGCTGGCCTTTTTGCTGCCTTGGTCCTCTGGCTCTACATCTACCCCATCAACTTGCCCTGGATTGAGTACCTCACCTGCTTTCCCTTCACCAGCCACTTCTGCGAGAAGTATGAACTGGACCAGATGCTGCACTGACCCCCAAGTGGCAGGCACAGGTGTCATAAAAAGTGTGCCCGCGGTGGGCTGCTGTGTGTGCCAGAGACTCTGGGACTGGCCCTGGTCCCAGGCGCTCACCCGGAGAGGCAGGGCCGACTCCATGTGAGATGGCCAAGAAAGGCAGGTCCCGGGGTGTCAGGTCCCCGCTTTGTCAGACCCATGTGTTCCTGGCCCGGCTTGGGGACACCCAAAACACCTGCCTATCTGAGATTCTGGTTACAGCCTGCCTCTACTCCAGGTCCCCTCTGGGGACAGTTTGTTTTCTTCCCAGGGCCCAGGGCTGCTGCATCTGCTGGTGCTCCTCCCCACTGTCACTGTGAGCAAGCCCCTGACAGACACACAGGTGCTCCCTCTTGCCCCATGGCTAGGATCCCCCACCTCCACCTATGGCCCCCTTGTTCTCTCCCCTGGGAGTGTACCTGCTTCATTCGTGCCTGGTGAGCCTTCCCCTAAAGCTCTCAATGGGGCATTCTGGGGGAGGCTGCAGTCTTGGTCCAGGCACAGACTCAGCAAGGAGATAGCTAGACAGCACCCTGAGCCTTTGCCTACTTTTAGCACCAGAGGCCGGATGGATTCTCCCAAGTCCCCCCTCAGCCCTGCCTCTGGCGTCAGTGTTCTGCCCCCCCAGGTTGTCCGATGCCAGGTGGTCCCCATCAGCTCCACCTCACTACTGCCCCAGCCAAGGGGACAGGGCTGAGGACCCACTTCTAGGGGGTGCCTAAGGCTCAGTTGTGCTTGGATCTGGGGTTTTTGTTTGTTTTGTTTTGTTTTTTACTAGTTTATATTATGGTCCTAATTTTTAAAAATAACGCTAACTTTGTGTAGATGACATCTCAAATGTATTAAATGATACTCTTTGTGAAAATACTCTCTTTTAACTGAGGCCACCAATGCAATGAAGGCTGGAACTTTTGAGGTTGAGGGCCTCAGCTTAGAGGCACCAACTTGACTCAAGGGACAGCAAAAACCTTATAGGATTTCTTGAGATTTAGTTGGACCAAAAACCATCTGGAGCCAGAGGGAAGACCTCAGAGGGTCTCTTGCAAGGACTGAATGGCATCCTTAGACCCTTGGAGCCTCACCTAAACCTGCTCCACCATTGCAGTGAGGATGCCGGCTGGCCCTGGCTGAGATGGTCTAGGGGGAAAAGGCAGAGCACTGTCATTACTCCAGCCAGGGACATGTCCATTCAGCACGCTGTGCCCACCCACAGCCCCACAGCACACCAGCAAGTCACTGAGGAGGTAACAGGAACATGACTTTATTCTGTGGAAGAGGAGCCCACGTGGGACAGTGGGGCGGTCAGCAGGGGAGAGGGAGCAGGTAGAGCACAGGACCCTAGCGGAAGGGAGGAGTAACCCTTGTATGCACTTTCCTGCCCATCACAAGGCCTTAGCCTCTCCCCATTCTGTTCCTAGCTCTCCCCCATGCTAGGGGCTGAGGCCAAAAAGGAATGTCCGTGAGGCCCCCTGGCCTCAGGATGAGGAAGGAAATGGAGAAGGGATCTTAAAATACCTCCCGCCATCGCCATGTACCAGCCCACCCAGTCTTGGGTCTCGGGCCCAGAATCTGGAGGGCAGGAGGTCCAGGGAGCCCCATGAGGACCAGGGCGTGGCTGGTCCTGGGTGTCTGAACAGCCTGGATGCTCTCCCATTCCTCTCTCTTGACCACTCTGGCTGGGAATTGCTGTCTGCTCTCCTGCTTAGCCAGGCTAGGGTGGCAGACAAGTGGGCATGGAGCCTGCTGCACCCCCACCCACCCCAGAGCCAGGAGGCAGCCCGGCTCAGCAGCCACTGTTCCGGCGGAGGAAGGCATGGCTGCGCAGCGAGCACTGGAGCTCTGTGAAAGCGAGGGAGCCCACAGCCACGGCGCACGGGCCCACGGCCTGGAAGCCGAACTTCTCGTAGAAGGGCACTAGCACATGCTCGCACATGAGCACTGCCCGCCGCACAGCTGGCTGGCCGCCCAGGTACTGCAGGTAGCGCCACAGCAGGATGGAGCCCTTGCCCTGCTGCCGGAAGGTGCGGTGCACAGCCAGCACATGCAGGTGGGCCATGCGGCCCCCGGGCCTGTGCAGCGTCAGTGACTCCTGGAGGGAGCAGGGCACAGGAGTCCAGGTCACCCTGTGACCCTGCTCCCTGGGCTACCTAACTCAGGCTAAGGGCCACCCAACGGGACTCCAAACTGGGAGCTATGCCACACTAGGCCCAGCGAGGAAACCAGAAGTTCTTTAAGATTCCTCAGGGTAGGGCTGGGCACTCTTGCCCTGGGAGGGGCCTATGGCCTGTGTTCATCTCTGGCTCTGGAAGAAATCCCAGCCCTGGAGCTCTCTGCTCACTGTCTACCCAGTGCTTGGCCAAGCTGTCTTCCAGCAGCCTCCCAGGAGCTGGGTGTCATGGGCCTCCACACTCACCTGCGTGAGTCTCTTCTTGTCCCAAAGAGAGCCAATGATGAAGGCTACAAGGCGGCCTTCCTCGAACCAGCCCAGCGACAGTTCGGGACACAGGGTCAGGAAGTGCCGGATCTCATCCAGGTACAGGGGGCAGATGCCCGAGACAGAGATGAAGGCTGTGGCAGGGGGCGTACACGGGTGACTCAGTGGTCACTCAGATGTACCCACGCACACAGGAAGGCGGGGAGCTCAGGGCATCTGCATCCCCCACTTGAATGCACACATGCCCTGGTTCTTTAGTTTGCACGGAGCTCTGAAGGGCAGGAACCTGGAGCTGGCTCAGCACATCCCGCCAGAGCCAAGCCGGCTGCTTACCTTCGCGCTCAATCTCAAACACGCTGACCGCATCCTCCAGGGTGAGGCAGCGAAACTCACTGGCTGGAAGTGTGTGACGCCGCTGGCAGCTCTGGGACTCTGAGGTCCCAGACAGCAGGCTCAGGGCCTCGCGTTTCAGGGGGAGGATGCTCTGCATGGCCATCCTGGCTGCTGGTGCGTCCCTGCAGTGTCCCAGCTCCTGAAGCAGCCTTGACACTGAGGAGGGCCCCTTGTGGGACAACTGCCAGGGTCAGGTCTGGTCCACATTCCCAAGGAGTAGAGACAGAGACAGTGTATCCAGGACCAGGGTGCCCTTGTCCTTCCCAAGGGCAAATTCTGGAAACCCCAAACATGGGTGCTGCCTCTCCCCCACATTTCCTTGGGGTCAGGGTGCTCAGAGCAGCCTCTCCAGAACTCCAGACTCCATCTCTGACATCCTGGTGCATCTGCACCTCAGGAGGTGGTGGAAGGGAAGGACAGCAGCCTGAGGCGCCCTAATACCACTTCCCAAGGAGGCAGCAGGGCACAGGAGCCTCCATAACCCCTTCGGCTGCAACTTCAGGGTACGCAGGTGCCCAGGTCTCCCACACTGCTGTCAGGGGGCTTGTCTTACCTGTCCAGAGGGAGACTGAGGGTCCTATGGGTGCAAGACAGTGTGGCCAGGAGCTTTTTAGGCAGCCTTGGTCCTCAGTCCTAGGGGGAAAAGCTCCTTAATCAAAGTGGACCCTAAAGCTGAACGTGGTAGTACATGTCTATAATCCCAGCATTCTGGAAAGTTGAGGCAAGAGGATTACAAGTTCAAGGCCAGTCTGAACAACTTAGCAAGACTTTTAATAAAAAAATTTGGGGGGGGGGGCTGGGAATTTAGCTCAGCGGCATAAGCACCTGCCTTGCAAACAGGCAGTGGTGGGTTCGATCCCCGTAACCGATAAAAAGGAAAAAGACAAAAAAATTTATTTTTAAATTATTAAAAAGGGGGTGGGGATATAGCTCAGTGTGAAGTCTTGAGTTCAGTCCCCAGGACAAAAAGAAAGAAAAAAAGAAAATGAAAGTGGGCCCTTCCAGAGTCCAGATGGCTTGAGACTGAGCCATGGACACACAAGATGGGGGACAGGGATTGTCACAGATTTGGGAGCTTTGGAAGATGTGGGAGGAAGAGGCAGGCATGGAAGTCACACATAACATTGCCAGCCCTGCTCTTCATATGGGGGAAGCTTGTATGTACACATCGTGATCCCTGGAAGCTTCTGGGTGCTTTACACTTCCCAGAAGAGGTCATCCCTGCTTCCTTCTGCCTTCAGAGACATTCAAAAATCCCATGCCTGAGAATCTGGAGCAGGGGTCACTTACCAGGATTTTGAAGCAGAGCCTCAGTGTGCCTTTTCCACAGAGCCGGGGACCAGGGAACCTGGACCCCAAGCTTCAAGGAGACTGTGACAGGTGCCACTGGCAGCACGTGACATTCTCAGAGACTTCTAATCCCTCAGCCCCACCTCCTGCAGTACAGCAAGAAGGCAGTGCCAGCGAGGCTCAGCCGCTGGGCCCCGTGCCTGTTCTGCTGAGTGTGGACGTCAGTGCTGGCACAGTGGATGCACAGGATTACTCAGCCAGCTGGGCACAGCACCTCACCCCTTCCCCTCGGAGGCCCCTTTGAATCAGGCAGCCTGTGTGCCCTGTTGGCATTCCCACCCCTCGCTTCATGCTGAGCCCTGGGTAAGCAGCTTTCCCAATGCACATGACAGTCCTGTTGGGGGAGCAAGAACCCTGCCTTAGGAGGGAGCAGGCCATCCCACTCCTTCATGAGCAAACCCAGCATTCAAAGAGCACAGGGAGGCTCCCAGCAGCACTTTGCATGGTTTCCAAACCAGAAACAGTCTAAATCCCCACCACCCAAGGAAGGATAGTGGAATATGCGCAGAGCAGCATGTGGTCCCGCCAGACAAACCACATGAAACACGGGGCCACTGGTGACAGCACCATCACTGAGAGGCCAGGCAGTAAAAACGGACTGTGAGACGCCACGATGAGCTCTAACATCCTGTCCAGACGGGGTCAGCAGCTGCCCAGGGGCTTTGGGATGTTGGGGAGGCCATGTTCAGTTGCTCGATTGAAGGCTTACATGGGGATCTGGCGGAAATTCAGGCTGCCAGCTCATGCATTTTTATGTATGTATGTTCTTAAAAGCTTACTTACATATTCAAGAGATTGCTCTGTCCAGCGTCTGGACTTCAAAGCTCTCTGACTGCCCCTGACCACTCCTTCCAGGATGAGTCAGCACCTGGGATGAGCTTTTCCCCCTGGAGGGTAACCCAGGCCCATCTACCTCTTACGCAACTCAGGCTTCCTCCCTTCCCGTCCAGCCTGCCTGAGTTCTTCTCTGGCCAGCAACTGCCCTGGCCTCCTACCATCCCACCCCAGCCCATCCCAGGCTCTTGAAATCTCTGTCCCACAGGTGCATTCCCACTACCTCACTGCAGAGTGTGCCAGCCCTCACCCCTGACCTGGGGAGGGACTGCGGTGGCAGCTCTGCATGACATACACTTGGCCCTGACTTTGGAGAGACCCAGAACCAGTCCAGACATCCCTACACAGGTAGCTTTCCTTATCATTGGGGTTTCCTTCTCCCAGAGCCCTGCTGTGTGAGGCCCACCATGCTGCTTCTACTGGCTGTTTCCCATTTTTCCCCTGCTGGAGACCCTCACCAGACTTCTCCAGGTTGACCAGAAGGACCTCAGACTTTGCCTATAAACTGGTAGGGGAAACACATGAAGACCTCAGCTTGGCACCCCACCTCCAAACTCTGGCACCCTGAAAGAGGCCTTGTTTCTCCTTATCTAGTCTCTGACTCCACTGCTCCTCCTGGTGGCCAATCACTACCACTGGCAGATGCTGGGGTGGAGCGGGGGAACACCATGGAATCTACATTCCCTTCCAGTGAACACCCACAAGGACTGGAAACATGCTATGGTTTAAACATGAAGTGTTTCCCCCCAAAGACTCATGCACTGAGGGCTCGATCCCAAATGTGGCAGGTTCAGAGGTGGGACCCAGAGAGGTGACTGCATCATGAGGGTGCTGACCTCATCAATAGATTAACCCATTGACTAGTTCACTAGCTGAATGGCCATCAGGTGGGGGACCTAGCTGGAGGAAGCTGGTAGCTGGGGACACATGTTTGGAGGGTACATCCCACCCCCAGCCCTTTCCTCTCTCAGACTCTCTCCCTGCTCTCACTTCCTGTTGCCCTGGGATGAGCAGCCTGCCTCTGCCTCATCCTTCTGCCTCAGCATTTCTACCTTGGAACCCACTTACCATGGACTAAAGTCTCTGAAATCATGAGCCTAAATAAACCCTTTCTCTTTCAGGTTATATCAAGTATTTTGTCCCAGTAATGCAAAGGTGACTAATACAGTGTCTGTAATCTCAAAGAACAAGATGTGGCAGTATGATAAAGTTGGGTAAAATCATCTGTGGTGCAGGAGAAAGAAGCAGGGGGCAGGGTGTTGAGGGGTCACAGGGCCTCTAACAGCCAACAGGAAGAAAACATCAATAGCAATGAAAAAGAAAGGAACAAGGGTCCACAGGGTGATGAGTGCAAAGACCAGGACACCCTGAGATGAAATTACATTAAAACCACAAGGTCAAGATGGACAGCATTCATCTCTAGTCCAGGCCATGTCATGAGACTGCTGAGGCATTTCAGAACCTGGCCACCTCCAAAACTGCAGGGTCCTCCCCACAAGAGGCTGTGATCAAGTTCATCTGACTGACCACGAGAACTTTCTCAGTGGGATGGCCAGATTTAGCAAAGACAAGTACAGATGCGTGATGACATCTGAATCTCAAGTGAGTAATGAACAACCTGGTAAGTAGAAGTATGCCCATGTAATATTTGAGACATACTTAAACTAAAAAGTTAACTGTTTATCCAAAAGTCAGATGATGTCACCAGGGGTCCTGTATCTAATCAGGCATCCCTATTTGGGAGGTCTGAGAAAGGGAGTGGTAGGCATGGACTAGGGTCAGGGTGTCCAGCAAGCCAGGAAGAAGAGCTCCCTACACCACTGTCAAAGGAGAGTGTGTGTCCTTGGGCTCCAGTCCCTATAAGGTAGTGGGTGTTCTTAAGGCTGCCTGCTGCACCCACGTTCCTGGGGCCCACGTAACTCTCCCCATCCAAAACAGGCTTCTCATGCCCAGCTCCGGTGGGACCCACCTGGGAGTCCTTCCAAGACACTCTGATGTTGAAGTTCTGGAACTGAAAACCCCCAGTGACCAGCAGCTCCCCAGGTCTCAGAACCACTGCTCGGCACATACATTCTCCTTGCGGCCTTCCAGCTGTGACGTGGCATTCCGTTTGATATCCTTGGGGGACACAGCACCTCAGCCACTGTGGACCCTCAGCCCACCATGATGTGCACCATGCAGGGATCCAAAACTTTGTAACCCGGGAAAGTTTCTTCTACTAGAGTCGTTGGCAGAGGTTAAGGGCACGACAGGCCAGGAGATACCTGACTGAACTGCTGCAAGTCACCTGAGGGAAACCCCAGAGGACCTGGCCAGGGGAGAAGTGGAGCATAGTGTGGACCCCGAAAGGATTCCTGGGAAGAAATAAAATTACATAGACACGTGGATCCAGCTTACAGCACTCTCCTGGGGAGATCACCACTTCCTCCTGATGGAGTTCATCTCCCCTGCATGTTCTACCTGTCCCTGGCTGCTTAGAAGTGTTTTATTTTTGTTTCTGTTTTGTTTTTATAGTCCTGCAGATTGAACCCAAGGCTTCTGCACCAACTTACATTCTCTGCCCCTACTGTATTTTTTTAAGATCTTGGGACAGGATCTTGCTAAAATCTTGCTAAATCACTAAGTTACCCAGGCTGGGATCCAACTTGCCATCCTCCTGTGTCAGCCTTCCAGAGTGTAGAAAAGGATTCCAGGTTGTGCACCACTCTGCTGAGCCGCAGACAGCTAAGGTTCTGCTCAGGCTCAGGGGGTGAGAAAAACCATCATCCCTGGAGTGAGGCCCCAGATGCGTGTATACCCAAGGTCTGTTCTTCACTTCTTGGTTCCTCACTCAGGCACAGACTGTAACCACTAGGCTGTCCTCCTGCCATGGCTTGAATGTGACTAGTAACCCAAGAGCCATGTGTTGAAGACCTGATCCCCAGTGTGGCACTGGGAGGCAACGTGGAATCTTCAAGTGGCGGGTTCCAGTGGAAAGCAATTAGGTCTCTGAGAGCTGTTGTAAAAGAGCAGGTCATAGTAGCAGATGCCTGTAATCCCAGCCACACAGGGGAATGAGACAGGAGGGTCACAAGTTCAAGGCCAGAACAAGACCCTATTCAAAATAAAAAGTTTTAAAAGGGCCGAGCCAGACATGGTGGTTCTTGGGAGGCTGAGGCAAATTTGAGCACAACTTGAACTATATAGGGAGTTCAAGCCAGCCTGAACTATATAGCAAGACTGTCTCAAAAATTAAGTAATAAAAATAAAAAGGGCTTGAGATATAGTTCAGTGGTAGAGCACTTGCCTAGCATGTGTGACTCTGGGTTCCATCTCTAGTACCCAAAGGAGAGGGGAAAAAAGAGCTTGCTTGGATTCTCCCTAATCTCTGGTTTGACATGGGATCTCTTCTCTCACTCCTACTCCTGCTATGATGTGATCCAGCTGCTCTGAGGTCCTCACCAGAAGCCAAGCACAGGGGCCCTTCAACTTTCAGTCTCTAAAACAGTAAGCTAACTAAATCTCTTTTCTTTATAAAATACCCAGCCTCAAGCATTTCATTATAGCAATGGAAAACAGATAAATACATCCCCACCTGCCCTAAATCACCCCTACAAGAGTCTTTAGTGGGCAAATCTGATGGATCCTGCTCAGTCTCATCACATCCAACCTCTCCCAGAAGTGCCAAAGGGGGACATGCAGAGAATCTTCCAAATGACCACCTTTGAGAGCAAAGTGGGGGCTGTTAGTAAGTAGACCAAGCTGCTGGTATAAATGGGGAGCCCCCTCCTGCAACTCCTTCCTCCTTCAATCCCTCTCGTCTGTCCCTTAACAGTTAACGTCCCTAGCACACAGAGCAGTTGTAGGACAGTGAAACTACCATATGTGCTGCTGGAAAGGTAGAAGCATGCCACGGTCCATTTGTCCAGTCTGCAGACACCAAGAGGGACCCTACGCTAACTACGTGCTTTGGTGATTAATGTCTCTCTTTTTCCTTTTCTCTTCTCTTCTCTCTTTCTTTCCCCTTCCTCTGTTTCTTTCTTTGGTACCAGGAATCAACCCAGGGCCTTCACACTCAGCTATACCCTTAGAACTTTTTGTTGTTTATTTTGGGCCTTGCTAAGTTACTAAACTATTTTGTTTTGTTTTGCTTTGCTTTGTTTTGTTTTGTTTGTCTTTTTGAGGCAGGGTCACACCATGCAGTTCAGGCTGGTCTTAAGCTCACTTTGTAGCTCAGGCTGGTTTCAAACTCGTAATGATACTCCTGCGTCAGCCTCCTGAGTGCTGGGATTACAGGTGTGTGCCGCCACGCTCAGATAAAATTACTAAATTGCCCCAGGCAGGCTCAAGTTTGTGATCATCCTCCTTCAGCCTCAGAAGGTGGCCTCTCAGGTGTCAGCCACTCACATCAAACCTCTGGTTTCTTGAACAGGATCTCACTATGCAGTCCAGGCTGGCCTTTAACTCACTATATAGATCAGCCTAGCCTCAAATTTGTGGCGATCCTCCTGCCTCAGCTTCCTGAGTACTGGAACTTGTGCCACCAAGTCGACTTATTTTTTTCTAAAAATACATTTTTTCAAAAAATTGTTTTTCTAATACAAAGTTTTGCTAAATTGCTAAACTGTCCAGGAAGGAACTCAAACTGCCAATCCTTCTGCCTCAGCCTGGCTCGGTGCTGGGATGCAGCATGCACCAGGCATCAGTATTCACTGATTCTAACGCTACACTGGTGGAGGACACTGATTGTGGGGGGGCTGTGGTTGGATAGGAGGGCTCTGGGAACTCTGTGCTTTCCAGCCACTTTTCTGTGATCCTAAAGCTGCCCTAAATAATGAAGTCTATTTTAAAAAGTTATTGTATCCTTAAGGTATGGATGGATAGGCAAATTGAAGTGTGTGCATGTGATGAAATATTATTCAGTACTAAGACGAGCAAAAAGAACTAAGCCACAGTTAGGATGAGCCTTGAAAACATTTTAAGTGAAACACACACAGAAGGGGGCCATGGGAGACCTGAGGACCCAGCTTTGGGGGTGCCCGCT